AACTACCCCCCCCCCCCCCCCTTTAGAATTGCTGGCCCCGTCACTGAATCCATCATATAAGGAAGTCATGGATTTACAACATCGATCTTATAATCTCGTGCAATTTTCTTATGCTTCTCCGTGATGATTTTTCCCGTCCCCTTTGCCTCTGCGCTTACCATTTTGTCTAGCCGAGGGATCTTTTGGTGCTACATCAGCTAAAGAACATATTCAACAAAAAGAATTTTTAACGTAGTTAAAGTCCATTTTTGTGTTTTCTTGAAACTAAACAAAGTTAAAGCTTAGTCTCAAAGCTGCATATGCATCTAAACAAAAGTTCATTTCTGCGTTCTACTGTTAAATTCTGTGAGAAAGCACGAGAGAAAATATATTATTGATGTATATTCATATGTTACAATGAGCCCTATATATATACACACATAACATGTCCTACTCCTAATATATATTGGATTAGGGTTATTTATTTACTCCTATTTACATGACTATTCTAACACTCCCCCTCAAGCTGGTGCATATAAATCATATGTACCGAGCTTGTTACATATGTAGTTAATACGAGGACCAGTGAGGGACTTGGTGAAAATATCTGCAAGCTGATCATTCGACTTCACAAACTTTGTAGCAATATCTCCCGAGAGTATCTTTTCTCTAACAAAGTGACAGTCAATCTCAATGTGTTTAGTTCTCTCATGGAACACTGGATTTGACGCAATATGAAGAGCAGCTTGATTATCACACACAAGTCCCATCTGACTAATCTCACCAAATTTCAACTCCTTGAGCAACTGTTTGATCCAAATTAGCTCACATGTCGCCATAGCCATCGCTCGATATTCTGCTTCTGCACTAGACCGAGCAACCACATTCTGTTTCTTGCTCTTCCAGGACACCAAATTTCCTCCTACCAAGACACAATATCCAGACGTAGAACGTCTATCAGAAGGTGATCCTGCCCAATCAGCATCTGAGTATCCAACGATCTGCTCATGGCCTCGACCCTCAAGCAATAAACCTTTGCCTGGAGCTGATTTTATATACCGAAGAATGCGAACAACTGCATCCCAATGACTATCACACGGAGAATCCATAAACTGACTCACAACACTCACAGAAAAGGAAATGTCAGGTCTTGTCACTGTAAGGTAATTTAATTTACCAACCAACCGTCTATATCTTGCAGCATCGCTAAGAGGCTCCCCCTGTCCTGGCATAAGTTTAGAATTCGGATCCATCGGAGTGTCAACCGGTCTACAACCTGTCATTCCTGTCTCTTCAAGAATATCTAAAGGCATACTTCGTTGTGAGATCACAACACCCTGAAGCTAGACTGAGCGACCTCAAAACTACCAACGAAAAATAAACTTACGTTTTAGCCCTAACGAATCCCTT